GCGCTTGCCGAATTCGACTTCAATCATTCAGATGGAGAGATCTCCGTCTGAGGATTAGGCCAGGATGATGATTCAACGGAACCATGTTCCGATTTCTCATACTTAAGTGATGAAGATATCTCACTAAATAGTAAACAAGATTTGTTTGCAACTACTGAAGTCTACGGCAAATTAGATAATTGCCTAGCAACTGCTCAACTAGACTCTGACGATCTGTTCAGCATCGTTAACTTCGTCCATGGCCAATCAACTCGTCAACGTCGCAAGACAAGAGACCTCAAAACTATCGTCTATGTTAGATTTAACAGACGAGAGAAAGGGAAACAAAAACCCGTTACACTCTGTTGCTTACTGGATACAGGAGCATTCGGAACACTAATTACTCAAACTCATGATAAGAGTTTACTCATGAAGAATCATGGGGGCGTCCAAACATTACGGACTGCTTCTGTAAAGGAATTGAAACCCCGCACGAAGTGTAAGGGCACACTAATGATTCCTGAGTTCCACGATAATAGAATTATCGAATGGAATTTACACGTCACCAAGAACTTGGGGGCGCAGGTCAAACTCTCTCCGACCTAAGAATCAAGTTTGATTTCACTACCATGTCAATGGAGTGGAACAGCATATTTTTCCCTGCGAAATATGGCGATACCGATAGAAAGGAGAACTTCTCCATTCCTGATCCTGCAGCTGTCAGCGACAGTGCAGATAGTCTCAAGAAGATTCTTGATGCAACATACGAACAAACTGACTTAAGGCAGATGTGCCAGAGTCGAAATCAGTTAAATAAGGAAGAGCAAGAACTGCCTCATGCCTTCTCAACCAAGTGCTCCGGCCCAGTCGAGGGTACTTTGGGAGAGTTGCAAATGGACGACTACGAAGTAGAACTTCGTCCCGACGCTAAATCCTATTATACTAGGGCTCACCCTACTCCACGTGTCCATACCAACACTCTCAAGACAGAGGTTGAACGTCTCTGCATGACAGGAGTACTTAAAAAGATAAACCGTTCCGAGTGGACGGCACCCACTTTTATCATTCCCAAGAAAGATGGATCTGTACGATTCATCTCTGATTTCCGGGAACTGAACAAAAGGATTAAGCGGAAGCCTTATCCTATCCCAAAAATACAGGACATGCTCTTGAATCCAGATGGATTCAAGTACGCTACTAGTCTAGACCTGAACATGGGACACTATCACATCGAGCTGTCACCTCACTCGAAGCAACTCCGTACCATCGTACTCCCTTGGGGAAAGCACGAGTACCAGAGGTTGCCAATGGGCCTATGTAATAGTCCCGACATCTTCCAAAGGAAGATGAAAACACGCATGCATGACTTAGAAAATGTCCGTGCATACATTGATGATCAACTCATCCTAACTGACGACGATCTGGTAGATCACGTTGAATAGTTAGATGAATTTTTCCAAAGACTTCAAGAAGTCGGATTTAAAATCAACACTACCAAGGCCTTCCTCAAAAGGAAGAACTTGAGTATCTAGACCATTGGACTACTCGAGAAGGAATCCAACCCTTAACTAAAGGACAATAGATGCGATCCAGCTATCGCTCTTCCTACCAACAGGAAGGAACTTCGTGGATTCATTGGACCAATGAACTACCAAGGTCTGCTCTAAGACAGCAGACGAAGCAACCATCGTTCTAAAACAGACGTGGGTTACCCAGTTTCCATGACCAGCTGAGGTTGTCATGGACAAAGAACGTGAGTCCCGCGCAGAGGTCGAGAAGACTCTCCGGGACAAACATGGACTTCGTCGCAAGTTCACGCGCGTCAATCATGACAAGATTCACAACATCCGTTTCGAAGCAATCTGGAAATACATCAAGGAACGTCGCCAACGACTTATCCAGAAAAACAACGATAGGGAGAACGCGACACGTGTCCCTCATCAACACAATGTCAACGATACTATGATGACTCATCAGTATCAGCACCGCTAGTACGGTCAGCCAAAGCACAAAGGTCCTTACCACACAGACCGAGTCAATAACAATGGCACTGTATGGCTCCGACATGCTACCGCCAGTAGCAGCACAGTCTACCAGACTTGGAACATAAGGTATTTACACCCATACAAGGCCTGATCCCCTTGTAGGATTGCCATCGTGCGACGCACATGTCTACATCCAATCTCCGGAGAGTGCCCCGCACTTTAATTCATATGTTCTCCTTGTCCGACTGATGTCGTGCCTTCCGTGACCCTTGTCAGGGGGCGAATGCAATACACGGCTCTTAGCCTTATTCGCGACTCGATCCTAGATAGGGTTTGAGTTCGACTCATGACTGAGTCTTTCGTGAATAGTCATTGAGACAGGGTTCTCATGACCGCTAGTCATACTAGGTCGATGGTGAAACATCGCGCTAGATATTTAGCTGGCGTGGAGAGATTCCACGCTACTAGATAAATGCTAGACGAATCTTCCACGCGTTCCGTTTTTGGATCGTGGAGTGAGTAGGATTGCTACCGCAACCTACTCTATCACACTCTACAGTCTCCCGCGGGAGTTCAGATCTACGATCCTTCGATGGTGGATCTCTCTCGTTGATTAGTTTTCATAGCTTTCTAATCCTCTCATAACTTTCATTCTCTCAAACTCAAAACACTCGAAAGATCTTTACACTAGCTTTTAGCGTAGTGCACTTGAGACTGGCTGGCAGGCTCGATATTTTTCTATACGAAACCCAAGTCAAAAAATCGAACACTTAAGACAGGTAATAAAAGATAATAAAGCACGTTGACCCTCTATTAGGCCTCTAGAGAAGGCGCAAAAATCAGTGTGGAGGGTATTGGATCAGTACTAGTATCGTACTACTAGCTAGCAAGCTGCGTAGAGTATGATATCCATCTCCACCAGCAGCACTATCATTACAAGCACAAGACAGCCACCATGGCGACAACGAGCAGACTAACTGCCATGAGACTAAGATCTCCTCCAAGGTCAGTGCAAGTTAACAACATTACGACCTCCCCTGGTGGCACCAGGACTGCATATGTTTCGTTGCGTCCCCCAGGAGATGTGGAATTGAACAGCAATGTGGAGCAATGTGTTTTGGAACTGGCAGAAGAGTATCGCCCTGGGAATACCCAAAAGCAACAGGACCCAAAGGTACTGGAGTACTTTGAGTTTTGTGACTACGCCTACCCTGAGGAACCATACAGGAATGTGCTGAAGTATGAAAGAGTTTACAGGTTCATGTGGTATCAAATGTTTCGCGAGGTGAAAACCAAGGGCACCAAAAAGGAACACCGCGGGCTCTCTGCTGAGCAGAAGAATCACTTTGACCCAGTTGACTATGAGAAAGTAATGAAAGACTTCAAGGATACTACTCGAGCGAGGCTCAGTCGCCACAAACAGCCAAGCCAGTGGGTCCAGCAACATTCATTGCCTACAAATCTGTCCTCAGAAAAATCTACAAAGTGCAAATTGCCAAACTGAACCTTGGCTGGGATTTTATTTGGCAGGCGCCTGTGGAAGATCTTTACAAGCATGTACAAGTACGCAAGCCACTAGACGACAAAAGAAACTACAAAGAGAAAGTGGATGGGGAGTTTTCGCCCAGCATGATTGTTGAACACTACTCTGCTATTGAGGAGTTAATGTGGCAGGACAGTCAAAACGCTGTTGGATTTCGCTCTGTTGCTTGTCAGCTCCGTCATCGCTATTGTTTCCTTCATTTGACTTCAGGTGTGTTGCGATGTGAAAGCCTCCATCGTGCCGAGCTCAGCGACTTCTTGGGTTTGCATGTACCTAGCTAGGTACCCGTAAAAGTGATTAGTTGAAGGGGCTCCAGAGGGGAGAAGGAGGAGGGTTAAGCTAGTCTGGACAAAGGCATCTAGTTGCACATGTTTTGAGTTGTGGTACCCATAAAAGTGATTAGTTGAAGGGGCTCCAGAGGGGAGAAGGAGGAGGGTTAAGCTAGTCTGGACAAAGGCATCTAGTTGCACATGTTTTGAGTTGTGGTACCCGTAAAAGTCACCAGTCAAATGCACTCCAGAGGGGATTATGTACAAGTACATGTATAGGTAAGTACTCTTTCGAAGTATCTTAAAACAAGGGTGGGAAGCAAAAATTTGTTTTCTTAAAAGTGGGTGCGCCACTCGCATCGAATGCCGTCAGTCGCGAGGTGCGCGCCCCTCTACGTGCAAACGTGTAGAGATCTACATACGTATTGCACGTAGGCTTTCTACAGCCGTGTAGGAATCCTACGTGCAATACGTATATACTTTGCACGTAGGCTTTCTACAGCCGTGTAGGATTTGTACTTGCACGCTACAGAGGTAGTATAGTACTGTATTTGCTATAGTAAACATGACTAATCGGTCCGACAGCTTCGTAGCTACACCCAAGAGCGATGAGGATGTCCACAGCCCCTTCATGATGATCAACCAGATTGGCATTGGAAAGACTACACACGGCAGAAAGCAGTATGGAAGAGCAACACGACACAAGGATGTGGCACTGTGCTGCATTTCTGCCTTTGTTTTTTACGTGATGTATCGATTTCACTGTACAGGAGAATTCTCCATGTTTACAGCCGCGGATTGGCTGGACAATAAGAAGTGGTTTGACATCAAGATCATCCTTTCCAATGTCATTGGAGATACCACACGCGAAATGTCAAACGACAGCTATGGCAAGCATGTTATCATCCTGCTGGGATCAAGAAATACAGAGATGACTTCTACTACAGTACTAAGTTTTTAAAATAGTAGACTACTGTTTAACGGGGGGTCCAGAGTAGGTAGATTAGCTACGGAAGCCAGCCAGGGCCAGGCTAGAACAGCCAAAATTCAGGACTAGGTTCTGAGGGGCCAGGGGCGAGAAATTGAGGACCATCTTGGGGGCCAACAGGGAAAATCGCTGTGAAAGCAAGAAGCAACACCAAGGAAGAAGATTCGAGAACATGGATGAAGGCTTGCCAAGCAAGTGGTCTGCAAAACAATTTTGACGACGGGTGCCAACATCCTGCTGGGATCAAGACATACAGAGATGACTTCTACTACAGTACTAAGATCGAGAAGTAGAGCGACTGACATTCTATTGCTACCCCTTGTGGAGTACTGTACAGTAAGTTAACCGAATTCTTGCAAGTTCTTCAAGAATGCCTGCAAGCTCGATAACTAACTCGGGATAGGAAACCCACCGCACACGCGGGCGACTGGCATTTTTGTCTTACCTCAGCCAGCACACAATGGGTGTGCGAAAGGAAACCATGATGACATAAACAACAACATCATTGGCTTGTCTATTTTCTTCGGGGGCTCTTGGATCGTTCCCGTTCCTTTTTGCTCTCCTTCTTATCTTCTTTTTTGGAGGAACTTTCCTTATTACTCCTTGTGGGACTTTTGGATCTTTCCCGTTCTTTCTTGTCGTCTTTTCTTCCGCTGCTATCTTTCGTAGGACTTTTTGTTCTGGACCATGTCGCGGGACTTTTGGATCTGTCCTTTTTTCGATCTTTGTTGCGTGGACTTTTGGACCGGTCCTTGCTTCGTTTGTCGTCTTTACTGCTACTGCCTTTTTTGGGACTTTTGGACCTGGACCTATGCTTTGTGTCTTTGTTGGCGGATTTGTCCGAGGCATCCATCATATGCTGCTCCCAGTCGAAATCTCCATGGTAGAGATCCCAGTCAAAAAATTCGTCATCTGCGGCTACTTTTCCTTTGGTAGATTCCTTCTGTTCGCCCCCCTCTTTACTGTTGTTGGCTTTGGGAGCCTTTGCCGCTTGTTTTTCTTCTTGTTTTGGTGGTTCCACTTTTTTAGGTTCATTCACCTTGATCAATCCCAAGTGAATGGCTTCTCGTAGGATGGCGGCATCGGGCCTCCTGCCTCTCTGTTTGGCTTCCGCCAAGTGGGATAAGATATATACTTTTTTCTTTTCCAGCATTTTCTTCTCTTCCTCTTCTTGAAGTTTCTTCTTGTGTTCCATATTCATGCCAATTCCGAGATACATACCCAATTCATTGGCTTCCGCCTTGCCAAACTCGTTGTTCCATTTCTCCAGCGCACATCCAATTTCATCGTCCGTGATATTGTCCGTATAGCGGTACTCTGGAAAGTGTTCTCGAAAGTAGGAAAACACCATGTTCTTGTGCACGGCGCCGCCTTGTACGAGCCATACGGTGGCAAACTCGCAAAAATCTTGGTAGTGGCCCGCCGCTCGTTCTGCTTGACGTGCTTCTTGTCGTTGTGTCGGGGTTAAAAACGTTGTCGCCATGGTGCTGCTTTGGAACTAGCTAGACAAGCATCTACCAATCTGTCTATTTATCTATTAGAATGCATGGAAGGAACGAAAGCTGTGCTTGGATACCGATTCTTCTACCTTGTGGGGACGCTCAGAGCTTTCTTGCAGACTTTGTTCTTCGTTCTGATCTTTCGTTCAAACGCCAGCAGAGCTGTGAAGCTTTGAGACCGCAAGCGTAAGCCAAGGCGTCCGTATTCTTCAGCAAAAATGGCAACAGGAAAATCTGTTACACGACCACGATGAAGATAACACAGTCTCGCTCGCTACCGGTAGGATCCTAATAACGGAAACACGTGGAAAGCTACATACTGGTATCACAGCAAGCCAGAGCTATGTATCTATCAGGCTATCTACTAGATATGAAAGGACGACTAACTAGCTACCAGGTAGGGAGAGTTCGAGAGAGAGAGTTGAAGAGCAGCAAAGTGGAACAGTTGACGCAGTCGCTCTGGATGAAATGGGGCGCGTTTTCCCAAGCCAAATTGGCTTGGCAAAAGGAGCCCAGTATGAGAGGACAACTGGGAAAAATGGTCACCATGATTTACTAGTATGTATGCAGGGTTCACTCGGGTGTGCAATTTGATACGAAGTAGTAGGCTCAAGAGCTAGGCTCTAGCCAGTTACGGACGGTAGCTCTCTAGCAGGGCATGAATCTCTTCGGGCACCAGAAGGCACCCACAGCAGAATATCTTGCTAGCTAGCTACTGCAACAAGGAAATGACAGACAACACACGAAGAGTAAAAGCACAGAGATTCTGAAAAACCCGAGGTCCCCGACTACAGTGCTGTACGGTACTGTTGACAGAACAGCGATCTCCAATCAACACATTTCGAGGGATGCAAAAGCCTTCAATCTGACCTATCCAGAAGAACCAAATAAAGGACATCAAAAAGATACATCTATAAATTATTGAATAACTTACGTAGATACAGTAAGTGGTGTATGGCGTGTAGGAAAGAAGTGTGTACATGTATACTCAAGGGTGGGTCCGTCGGCTGGTCGTACAGAAGAAGCAGGTCGTCCTCTTCGAATTTAGTGTTTTGTTTTGATTGCTTGATGGACGGATCGAGAGATAGGGTTGGGCTGATGATGAAGCCGGAAGGAACCGATTTCCCGCAATCCTCAGCGGCATCACCCCCAAGGAGCGCCGCGGAGACAAGATCCAGCTTTCCAACTCCTAACTAATCGGTAAAACTGCGCTGTCTGTTCGCAATGCCATCATTCCGTTGCATATCCTCGATCCGATCTTGAATGAGGGAGCGCAGATTCTGTGTCAATCCCATACTGGTGCAACTCTTTTGTTCTTGCATGGCTTGGTGCAGCTTTTCCCACTGTTCTGGATCTTCCAAGATGATCTGCACCAAATCGCGTTGCTTGGTGGCGGTGGTGTCTAACAGTGTGGAGCGGCGGCGGATAACGGGGGATGATTCCTCTTCCGGTCGGAGCAGCCAACTAGGGAGCTTGCTACCCAGTTGCATCGTGGCTTCTACCAAACGTCGTGGAGCGACCGTGGGAGACACAGTGGCGGTGTTGTTGTGTGGACGGGGACTGCGGTTGGCCGAGGCTGTCATGGTCGTTCTCTTTTTATGCTATATATCTGTGCGTTGAGGATTTCAATGGTAATCAATCACAACGTTGGCTTCGACACAAGGTGAATACTGTAAGATACGCGCGATGTTCTGAACTGGTGTCGGAAGGAAGGTAGCTCTTGGTGCCTTGCAGTATTGTGGGTAGCTTGTCGAACAGATTAGATCCTCCAAGTTGATACCGATAGTACCAGTTAGATCAATGGAAAAGATATTAACCAGGCCAGTCGTAGTAGTCTAGCTGATGATAGCAGTTGTTTCAGTTGTTTGGCAAGAATGATGATGTAATAATGGAATGAATCACCCAGCTGCTTGGCGGTGCTCTGTGTCGTGTTGGCGACAAGTGGTGGCGATTCGAGACGGATACCAGTTTAGTGAGCGTTTGATGCGAGAAAATATCACATCGGTTCAGAGGCGCGTGACAGGGCCAATAGCTGGCTGGCTCGTTTGCAATATTATTATTATAATCCAAAAGCTATCGTTCCGAAAAAATTTCGAATGAAATAGGCGACAATGACACTCTTTTCGGAGCAAACGACGGTGTAACACCCTCTGTTATCGTTGTTAGAGTCCACTACTAGAAGCTGGTAAGATAATAGCGTTACAGAGACCAGATTTTCATCACAAGTGGCTCGTCACCCTTCCTTGAGACCGTGGGAATTCTTCCCACTTCTCGGTTGCTCGGAGCTTTTAAATATACTCGGCTTTGCTTCTGCATGCCTCACCCAACAGAGAGTCTTCTGAAAACACCGTGGTCCAGGACGATGGCACTTTGCTGAAACATACATATTCAAAGTAGTCTTTCCAGCGCTCTTTGATGACATACCCATTGATTGATTCAATGAATCCGTCAGGCAAAGAGGAGATGCCACCAAAAGGCTTGGCTGCCGGTGCCGAATCGGCAGTCTTCATTTTGGTTGGATCTTTGTTACGGTAGGGGCCTCTTTTCCCTTGGTGGAAACGGCTGTTGATACTTTCAAAGGTGCTTTCAATCTCAGGTCTAGACTGGAGCATGATCCTTCGGTAGATAGTGTGGGCTCTGTCTTCGGTTGAGGTCATGCAAACTAATGGCTTTCGGACTGACTCGATGCACTTGTGGGATGACTCGAAGCCTTCTTCGGAGCACCGTCCAAGCATGCCATGTGTTCTAATAAATTGTGGGACGTGTGTCACGAGCACATGAAGCTTGTTGAAGACGGTAGCGTCCTTGGAATCGTCTTCTCCGGTAAATGCAAGCCACAGCATCGCATACTCTTGTGCTGCCGAGTGAAACTCCTCGCAACATTGCGATGACCATTTTCTCTGACTCTTCATCATTACAGCCATTCGATAGAGTAGCCGTGCCATCGCTAGAAACTTTTCAACCAACGTGTCAACCGCTTGCTGCAATCGTAGATTGTTGTTAAAGACTCTTTTCATTCGCTCAGCGATCTTGTCAGTCCTTTCGAGCACGCGAATGCCATCAGCATTAGACAGCTCGAAGCCGCTATTCTCAACACGAAAGGCAACTCTCCCGTCCACTTCATAAGCTTTTCTGAAGCAATACGTTGCAGGGCCCATAATCCGGGTCGTATTCTTCCTTGCTACTCCATCCAAAAACTCCTTGCCTTTTTCAACAAAGAGCTTGGCTGCGTCTCGTGCTTTGGTTTGGGCCATCAGTGTCAGGGAAATCTGATTGCGACTTTCCTCGAGCTGCTGAATGATATCGATTGATCTCATTGTCTTTGCTGACTGTACATCTCGAGCTAGCCTCGTGTCTTGCTTTCGGAGTTGTTCTGTGCTCGACCGCGCTTGATCAATGAACTCCTTTGCGATTTCCAACTCAGTCGTCAAGTCCTTCAACCACGGTGTCAGCTTGTCGATTTCGCCAAGCGACTCGAGCATTTTAATGGTACAGTGCGTCAACAGGCCACTAGAGACATGCATTCCTGAGCAACTGTTCAAAGATGGCGGAGTAAACAATAGAGGCTCATAGATAACACTGCAATACTTCAGCTTCAACACACGTGCCTGGCCTGTCGAATTGGCTCTCACCCAATCGGCTCGTCCCTTGGCCTCGGCCACGAAGCCTGCATAGAGCCTTGGATTTGCGAAGTCGCCTTCTCTGTTGCTAGGAAGCTCGCTCTGTGGTTTGGTGAGGATGGAAGCAAACTCTTTCTTGCGTGCAATACAAATCGTGCAAGGACACATTACAGCAGCAGTGCCCTGTCCCATGAGTGTTGCATTGCATTTAATGTCATCAGATGTGATGCCTCGGACCTGCAAGCAGCGAAACTTGACGGATTCATAATCGGCCGCATTGGCAATGAGATTCTCCGCGAAGAATTCGGTGCAAACCACTCTGCCGAAGCAGTTTCGTAGAATAAAACCACTGTATGCTTCTTCGTCTTCTGGTGTGCTTGTTGACACAATCATTTGAATAGAAAGACGGTGGACATCACGGCGTAAGAATTCCTGGAGCTCGACTTCTTCCCTAGGATCAAGGAGACGCACCAGTTGAGGCAATGCTCTCTCGTCTTCAGAGTTGGTTTCTCCGATACTAGATGCACTCTTGTCTTCGGCATACCGAACAAAAGAGAGTCGACGTCCACCAAAACTGCTTTCCGGAAATTCAAATCGAATTAAAACGCATTGAGCGTCGACAATTGCATCACTCTTGTCATGGATGGAAATAACAATCATTTGGAAAGCTTTGTTCAACAGAAGTTGTAGGAATTCGCGAGTCGGTTTGTTTGGGTGAAAGATAGTTTGCTGCATGTTGTGGTAGCTTTCTTTGCCGAATTCATAGAAAGAAAGTGGAAGGCAGTGCTGAGAGCTGTTGCCAGCAAATCGATTGGCTATCCTAACCAGATTAGCTGTAATGTCGCCACCTCTGTCAGATCCTTGGACGACAACAAGCTCATCTCTGTGGTTGCAGAATGAAATAGACTCTTCAAACTTGCCGGCTATCATCGCACTCTGAACAAGACGTTGGATTGCCACTGCAGGCTGCTTTATCCACACATGCAAGCAACGTTGGTTTCTTGTTTTCCCACCAATTTCAAGTGAAACAAGCTCAAATCCAAGCTTCAAATCAAAGGAATCCATTGAGTACTTCGCAATGCTTTTCCTCAGCAGCTGAGGCATAAACGTTGGGCCAATGCTGTTGGGTAGAGCCCACTTGACAAATCTTTGTAGGCGCTCAAGGCCTCTCGCTGTTACTGGAAGATAGAGCATCAACGCTGCACATTGCGCAATGCTGAGCCCAGCATCATTCTGATTCATCACTCGGAGGCCCCGTCTTGCAGCCATGCTCCGAAGAACCACTACAGTTTCCTCCGTTGAGAGACCAAGATTTGACAGCAGAGCCTCGACAAGATGCCCTTTTCCACGACGCTTTCGTCCTCTCTTTTCGCCTTTGCTTTGTCTGGTCTCTTTGATGCGCATGATCTTCAACGGGCTTCCATTTCGGAATGGTTTTAGCGTTATTATCTCTGCAGATGCTGCGAGCGAAGCCTTGCTGATTTGTGGCAAGTCATCGTCGTCGGCAGAGCATTGAATGAGAGACTCTCTTTTCTTTCTGAAGAGCGCATAAAGAGCCCGGCAAACTTCTTCCTCACAGACGCTGCTAATATCTTTTTGTGCTTGTATCTCGGATCGAATGCGTCCGGCCAGTTCCGCCTGAGGGCTCATGTTTTGGCCTGGCAACAGATCATCAGTCTGAGTTGATACTTCCTTGTTGTCGGCAAGATTGAAATCAAGACGTGTCCTGTTGTGTCGCCTCGGATCATTTTGACTGCGAACTGAATTCTCAGGTGAGCAGAATCCGTCTTCCAGTAAAGGAGAAATGGGAGAGCGTTCCCTTGCAGGAGAAACTGTGCTGGCGGGTGATGCCAGATCTTCTGCTGTAACCAAAGGAGTCGGTCGGAGATCCCGACGCTTTGGGTCTCGATTCACTAGTGCAGGCGAGAAGACAACATCATCAGCATTGGTGTTGGTTGTTGGTTGGTTGGGAAATGGGCCAGCCGGCCGCTTTTTATTGCCATTCAGATCATCCTCATCGATGAGGTCACACGATGTTATCCAATGGAGAAAATCATGCTCCAACCCCAAGCCACAAGCTCTCCGAACTGCCGGTTTTGAGACACCCCAAGCAGTTGACAGAAGCTCGACTGGAGGAGAGTATCCTTTGTTTCCTCCGCCAGCGCCAGAAAGACTCATGAAAATAAACAGCATCAGCCTCATCTCATCATCTGCAACTTTGAGTGGAGTTTTCTTCATCAGCTCCGTGCGCAGCCATCCATCATCTAGCACCTTGTTGCCAGATACAATGAAGTCGAAAATGGGCGATGTCCCCATTTTCTTGCGGCATCGAATCGTTTCTTGTAAAGAAACTAGAAAAGCTGTTGAAGAGAAATCTTGTTCACTATCCAAATTGCTGTCATTGTTGCTGTTGTTGCTGCTGTTGCTGCTGTTTCTGCTGATGCTGCTGCTGCTGTCAGTGTCTGTTGTTTCTGTCGGCGATACAGGTCGGTTGGCGAAAATATCGCGCAACTCGATGCTGCTCTTTGTTCGTCGAGCGCTTCGACGGGTTGCCACCATCGTGGAACAACTCTGCTGTGCTTGGCAGACTGCCAACCGAGAAGCCACAGCAAGTCATGTCTACACCTCTGGCATTGCTTGATCGGGATTTGAACAAGCCAAAGAACGCTCCTCGGGTTTTGTCGATACATGTACGAAAAAGATTCGAAAATTTGGTGTCTGCTTCATGATGCGATGCTGCTAGCTCCGCAGCTGCAGCTGCTGCACTACTAGCTGTAGCAAAATGCAAGATGATAGAACACTCCATCTGGGTGGGAGAGCCGACAGAAGAGAGATTGATATGGATAGTCAGTTTCGACGACGGCACAGCATCGGCATGAGAGTGGGCTTTCGGCACGAAATTCTATGCGAAAAAGATACACTCGCCTCGACTCAAATATTTTGGAATCGCGAAAAACAGCTTTAAACTGATGTTAAACTATACCCCTGATTGCCACCAGGGTGACCATTTGACACTAAAACGTGTTAAACATTATACCAATTTGGCTGGCCAAGGTAGATACCTTGCCTTCCGACGCAGTTCTGCCAAAAAATGGCGTCAGCACGGAACAACCAATCCCCACCGTAGCTATCCGGATAGCTAGATAGATAGAATCAACACCCAGCAACAAGCAGTAGCTAGCTAGATAGACTATATATATAGACGCTCGAAAATAGTCCACACTGATAGACAACGATATTACTAGAATAAATCTTATAGAGGCTACAGGTGCAATACAAAGTTTTTGGTTGTCGGGTTGGCCAGATAGAATTGAGGGCAGTCAAACGGACTCACCAGATGCAGAGCTGCTTCTTGCTAACTGCTTGGCTTCTTCTTCTTTCAATTTGAGATGCGCGATATTTGCATCAACAAGGCTGGCAGCGTATTGCATGGCAAGTTCAAGGAGCTTCCCTTTATCTTCGTTCTTTGACTTGGGCACAATTACATCAATCTGTGCAATAGAATTTGCGTGCTGCTCTTCTTCCGAGCGGAGAAATTTCACTCGAATGATCCGTCCGCTTGTTTCGTTGCCCTTGATCTTCTGGGACTTGGTGTACCACTCGAATCGACTTGTCAGTCGAAGCTCCATTGTTTCAATAACGCCACCATTCATAGAATCATCATCATCCTTCATCGTCCCATCATCGTTCCTCTCCGTCCGGACGCCTCGAATAAAAAAGCGGAAGGAAGGAGTGCCTGGGATCTGATCAAAAGTTGCAGATCCACGGTAGTCTCGAATGATACTGTCACAAGTCACGAATCCAATAGCAATGTGCCTAGTTTCTCCCATATTCTGAATATCATCGATGGGCTTCAGCTCAACAATCGTCTTGTAAGATGGCCCGCCATCAAAGGAACCTGCTCGTTCAGCGGCAATTCGGCGCTCCGAGTTCATCTTGATCTTGACAAAGAAATAAAACCGAAACGAAAAGTGTGAGGCGAGGTTTATTGCAACTATCGACGCAGCAACAAGCCTGGCTGTGCCGCCAGAATGTTCCAGACAGAATGTACTCGGAACAATATCAATGGGCAAACAAGCCCTCCGGACAAAGAAGCTTCTCCCACACTCAACCAACGGAGCAAGGAAAAAGATTTTGTTCGATCGAGCGCTCCAAAACTGGAGCTTGCATCGCTTTCCCACACACAATTTTCAGGCATTGGCACAAAACATTCGTTTGCCTACAAAACACCGACCATGTCGTCCCTTTGTAATCAAGATGCAAAGATTGCCTTCTTTGCAAAAAGCGCAGGTGAGGCAACAGCCGTGAGCAACGAGACACTCAGCAACATTGCCCGAGGCATTCAGCACGGCATCCAGCGTTGCATTGACCGAACAAGTGACGTAGATATGTTTGTCTGCCTTCAAGGCAACAAAATCATCCCAAATACTCTGCCAATCCGTCTGGAAGATATCCAAGCGACGATGGAAACTGCGTCGAACGGAGACCTCAAATTCAAAACCCTCCAAGGAAATCACACACTTCATGTCCTTTTCACTGGCGGAGGATCTCAGTTTTCTATCCAACTTGCCGAGCCACCACAGCGTCAACAGGCCAGGGTCCCTCAGCGTCAACAGGCCAGGGTCCCTCAGCAACAACAGGCCAGGGTCCCTCAGCAACAACAGGCCAGGGTCCCTCGTCAACAACAACGACAACAGGCCAGGACACAGCAACCAGCGCCTCCGCAAGCAGAGAGACGCAGCCGGGAAGCTTCTGCCAATCGCCACCGAGTCAGTTTAACGGACTCGTCTGAATCATCTGATGAAGAAGAGGTTGTGGCTCCGCTTCGTCGTTATCGTCGTGCTGGACAACAACAAAAAAGACAACCAGACAGCGACGATTCCTCGTCCGCGGACGAATACAAGAACTTTTCGCAGATCACAGGGCGGAAGAAGCGTGCTTGAAGAAGCGTTTGTGTGATGAGAGTAGAGGAGTATGGCGCCTGTTAACTTGCTAGTAGCGACGGCCGATCGTCATGGTGGCACCTGAAATTGTATCGAAAACTCACGGAGGCATTATATATATAAATTATCTCTAGCACGAATATATCAATGTTAAGCGCACCCCCGCGGGCGAGGCTGGCGCCTATTGGCCCCTCTGAACCGATGTGATATGAGAGCCGCAACTGCCGGTCCAAGCTCCCTCCAAGCGGTCTACTAAAATTCTATACTGTTGCTTCACGAGTGGCTTCCCAACGAGCCTGACCACCTGATCCTCTAAGTAGCAATCGTTTCAGAAGTTATTGTGACGTTCCTGGTCATCCGAAATGAGTCCTGGTTGAATCTGGGTCACCAGTTGGCCAATTTTGTTACGGCCGGCACGGTGCTTCTCCGTGTCTTCAGCCTTGAACCTGTGACCCAAATCCGATGCTGACTTCAAGTTCAATCGAGGTTGAGAGGAATTCAATCGAATAAGATCGAATACTATTCGGATGATTAGTCGAACGCTTTGGATCATTCAAGCTTTGCCGGACCGGTCGACCGGTCCTGCCCCATACCATGTGGTACCGGTACCTGGTACCTGGTACTCCATGAGAATTTATCAACATGGGCAGGGCAAACACTCTAGCACTAAACATTTCCACTCACCTTGCACTGCATCTTCAACAACCCAATAACTTCAGCTTCTTCTCTGGAACTCAGCCTTCCACTGCACCAGTACCGGTACCGGCCACTCCATCACAAGTCTCCCATGTAATCGTTTGGACCCTTTTCCTAGTTTTCTCTGAATCCCTGACTAAAAGCTCTCACATCTAATTCACACTAGATTATAATTACTATATCAGGACTTCTGCTTTACTACTACCATGGCTGGCTACTCGTAGCTAGTAATAAAGACCAACTGTGCTGGTGCTAAACCGGCTGATCTCGTCGTCATCATAGCCAGCCTGAGTGTGCTCCTCCTCAGTCGCAAAGCTGAGTCCATTCCTGCCATATGTGTATGGCGTGTAGGCTGCTTGTGTTCCTTTCGACTGCTTCTTGAGTCGCCGGAGGATGTCGTCTCGAAAGCGTCCATGTACGTCGATGGCATCAGGCTTCTTGGTGGATTGCTTTTTGGATTCTTCTTTTTGGACCGTTGTTGGAGCCTCTTCTTTTTCGATTTCTGGAGTCTCTGTTTGTGGTGTGGATTCTTCTTTGGCACTTTCTTCTTGAGGTTCATCATTGAGACCCATCAAACACAACAGATCCTCCAAGTTGTCAATGTCCAGTCCAGCCAATTCCTCAAGTTCATCTACATCAAATTCGAACATTGCTGCACTCCGAGTAACATATTCTTCTTCTCGTGCAACTTCTTTTTGTGAAATTTCTTCTTGCTCGGCCTCTCCTTCTCGTACTTCTTGCTTATTGTCGTGCTTGGTCATTTCGGTGGCTTCATTAGTGTTGTGATCATCAGTGGTCTCTGCAATCAACCCACGAGCACTGAACTCCGCAACAGCCGCATTAAATTCCGAAGTCTCCGAGAATTCTTCCGTAGAGCTCATGGCGGAGGTATCATCTAGATCATGCTCGGGCAGGGAGTTGCTTTTTTGGTGCTTTTTGTTGGTCAAAAACAGCAAGGACGACAGGAGACGCGCAGTTTTACTGTTCATTTTCATCTCCTTGGTGGGGCTCTTACTAGTACCACCAGTCATCTTTCCGCTAGTAGAGGTGGTGGTTGGGGTGCTTTTGGTTCTGTCGAGGCTTGACATGGCTAACTTACTTGATCAACGTCTGCTTGTTGTTTTTGTGTTTGTGCCAACGTGCCAACATAGCTCTGCAATTCTGGAGCGGTGCTGTACTGGTGGGAAGGACAGTCTCAGTCGCGCATAAATCCACGTCAGCCATTTCCACCATTCCAAGACAAAATCGACCAAACTTTTCTGTGAGCAATCGTTTTTGAAAATTAGAATTGTGAGAAATCAGCAAATTGGAAATGTGAGGAATCAGAAAAATTGGAATTGTGAGAAACTGAAAATTGAAATTGTGAGGAATCAGCAAAATTGAAATTGTGAGGAATCGTTTTTGAAAAATGTAATTGTGAGAAATCGGCAATAATAGAATTGTGAGGAATCGTTAAAATTGAAATTGTGAGAAACTGAAAATTGAAAATTGAAATTGTGAGAAATCAGGAAAGTTGAAATTGTGAGAAATTTATTTTCGAAAAATGGAATTGTGAGAAACCATCAAAATTGGAATTGTGAGAAATCAAAAATTTAAAATTTTAATTGTGAGGAATCGAAAGTCGAAAATTGTAATTGTGAGGAATCGGAAATTAAAATTGAATTGTGAGGAATCCGCAATAATTGTAATTGTGAGCAATAAGGAATAATTGAAATTGTGAGAATTCGGCAAAATTGGAATTGTGAGAAATTAAAAATTGAAAAATGAAATTGTGAGGATTCGGAAATAATTGTGATTGTGAGGAATCGGCAAAATTTGAATTGTGAGGAATCGAAAGTCAAAAATTTTAATTGTGAGGAATGAGAAATTTGAAAATTGAATTGGGAGGAATCATCAAAACTTTGAATTGTGAGAAATCAAAAATCGAAAATTGTAATTGTGAGCATTCGAAATTAAAAATTTTGAATTGTGAGGAATCGGCAAAATTTGAATTGTGAGGAATTGAAAATTAAAAATTGTAATTGTGAGGAATGGTTTTGGAAAAATGAATTTGTGAGGAATCGGCGAAATTACAATAAAATTGTGAGGAATCAGCAAAATTGAAATCAACCGGAACTCGAGCTGCCGCCAACCAATCAATCGCATGGCTCGTCAGCTTTCTCACTGTTGCTTTCTCACTGTTGCTTTCCCACCGTGGTCACTACATGCATTGCATGGTCAATTTTTGGTGGTGATGTTACCATCGCTGTTGAGAAGATCGCTACGGCAAGACATTGCAAGAAAGGTGGCTCGCAGATGGTGGCGATGCAATCACAACAATAAAAGAGTTGTTTCTGTGTCGATCCCACGGGCCTTTTTTGCAACCACTGCGAGCGCCAATGATGTGGACGATCCATTTGAGCAAACGAAGGAACAGAGTGGTGGTGTAGCACTTGGTGCAACCGACCAATGTTCTCAATATCATGAAGAAGAAGAAGAAGCAGCTCTACTGCTGAAGGACCTTCGAGGTGACTTATCCAAAGCCATGGAGGAGATCATTTTGCTGGTCGAAGAAGAAGAAGAAAAGGTGGAGGCAGAACAGAGGCCAAGCGACGACGACCAGGCTCAAGATGACGACGACAAAGCAGAGAATGACAATATTCTTGACCAAAGAAGAGAGAATGGTCTGCGTGAACGTTTTGCCAAAGCGTGGAGAAAGCACGAGATGAAGAAGAGGCACACTATGGGGATAGCAAATAATATCACTCCTGGGATGGGCTGGAAAACGTTTCTTGGAAACCACCACGAGTTTGGTGGAGATAAGGAACAATCCTTTCCCGAGGAAGAAAATTTGTTGGTGAACAGTTTGGACGATCTGAAATTATCTTCTTCCGCTGGAGCACAACATTTGCATCCATCAAATGATAATGATATTCTCAGTTTTCCGGGGAATGAGATGACATTCGCAGAGCTGAAGATCCCAGAGCAACAATCATCAGCACAAAAGGCACTTGCCGACCTTCCTTTCCCGAAATTTTCCTTGGATTCGACCGCAGCAGGCGAACAGAATAAAGTTGCCTTGACCGATGATGATGATGATGGGAATGTCGAGGTGGACGAATCCATGCGAAGAGAGACTGCCTCTTTTCATCCACAAATTCATGGATTGGAAGACCAGCTGCAACCATCCATGGCTATTCAGAGCCAATCGGAACTGGAGAAGTTGTGTGTATTCCTAGAGTCCATGAGACCTTCGGACTGGGCGGTAGTGGATACCCAAGATTACCACCACGAGCATTTTGACGATGACGACAATCATTTTGACGATGATGATCACAACCATGAGGATATGGACATTTTTGACACTGGGAAAAGCCAGGATGAGGACGTTATAGAAGACGATATTGAAAGACTGCTGAATCTGGCCTTGAACACGACGGATGGCCTTTCGACTGAAGAATACAACTTGATCTTGGCACGTATTTCCACAGCCCCCAATCTCGTTTTGGACTCCATTTTGGAGTCGCTGTTGCAAGTCTACCACGTGATGAAAAAGAATGCCGTGCCAGATGAAACAACCTACAAAATACTGCTCTTGACTCTGCAGAGACGAATGGCTGGCAATGGGATCATGGTTTCGCTTCTATTGCAGGACATGATGGATTTCAAGGTGACACTGTCATCGGATGCACTTCTTGTGATGGGTATGACCTGTCTAGATCATGAGAATAACTTGAGGGTTGCCAAGCGCTTTCTCCTGGACTATGCATTGGATGCGGGCAGGAGAAACAGAAGATTGCCCCAGTCTTGTACACGGACCCTCATGAAAATGATGTCCAGGGAAGACAGTGTAGACGACGCCATTTCCCTCTTGAAGTTGTGTATGGAGGTGAGTGGTGACTCGCGGCAGTAAGGATTGAACCTCTCGTACCGTACGTATGTCTACTTGCTTACACACTAATTGAATTGCCGTTGATGATCCAGGTAAATGGCTTGAGGCACAGTCGTGACACGGATTCAGTTGTCGATGTAGCTTTTCAATGGCCAGACCGCAACAGGTAAGCAGCAAAAAGCGTGGGGGCACTCCCCATGTTTGTCGAAACTATTTATTCTGACACATTCCCTTTTTCGCAGGGCGGGACAGAAACGTGACATTGTGCATGTGCTCCGAGCATTTCTGGAAGTCATCCTTGACAAAAAGAATAGATTCAGATACGAGCCAAGTTTCAAATCTTGGCAAAATATCATTGTGGCATTGTCACGGACGACACGTGCTGACCCCACACGGTGGGAGCTGCTCAGGCGACCATTTCATGCGCTTTTTCAGCAGAACCAGAGTTTCTACCCAGGGGAAACCTTGCTGAGAATAGGACTCGACTATTGTGATGCCACAGGAGACTCCAAGCTGGCGCGAGACCTCATAGTTCGGTCTGTTGATCATCATGTTCGTTCCAATCAAACAATGCCGGCCAGTCCGTGGGGCTACAGTAACAGCCACGAAATCAGTAATCAGGATTCCCTTGAGCAGGAAACACTCGAGTCATTGAACAATCCACCCGTATATAACAACGAAGAGTCGTCGACCCCATTGCAAACTCAAAACGTTCAGTTTGCTGGAGATGTCTTCCACAGTGAATACACGGACACAAACTTGCACGGCAGCTTCGAAACTTCGTGGTTCACCACCCAAAATGAATTTGGCACGATGGAGTTAGATACCGTTGATGAAACTATGACGCCGGAGGCAACGGCGACCATCGATTCTGACGTGCCCTGTCATGATAGTGGTACTGCCCAGCAAGTTGCCCCTCCGTTGCCCTTCAAAGCTTTTACAAAATCTCTCAGAGTTTGCATAACCGCAGGGGATGTCACGAATGCGAGGTCTATTCTGGAAGCGTTTGGACGACTGCCGTCTGTGTATCCCAAAGACATCGAATCCGAAGTTTGGGGCTCGGCCCTTCGTGGGTTTTCCAGCTTGGCCCTGGACTCAAGTCTTGTCAATGAGATCTTTGTACAAATGAAGCAAAAGGGGCTGAAGATCGACGAGGAGGCGTATGCTGCTGTTTTGCACTGTTACGCTGTGGGGAATCAACCAGAAGAGGCCATGAAGTTGTTTCAAGAAATGAAATTAGGAATGTTCCACGACGAAGTCCAACCAGGCTTGTCATGTTATAATTCGATGATTCTGGCTTGCGTTAAAGCCAAGGATTATGGCAAAGTCATGGAGCTTTATGAAGAATTGAAAGCATCTGAAACTGCTACGAATGACGCTACTACGCAGGGTGTTGTCATTGCTGCACGCCGTATGGGAGGGAAAGAAAAAGCCCGGCTTGTTCTGCAGGAAGCATTGTCTGCGAGTACCGTGGTCAGCCGAAACAATTGTCATGTGGCATTGAAGATACTAATGCCAGACTTATTGTCAGGTAGAGCCTTTCGTGGGTCCGCTGATGTGGCACATGTTCAGGAGATGCTAAGGGAACTGGGGCTGGAAAACGAGATGCTTCGACCGGCATGTCTAGACTTGATGCGGTCATGCCGTCAGGCAGACATCGAACAGCGGCGCACCCCTACGAAGCATGTTTCCGCGAGTGATCTTGCTTCTCGACGTAATGCAGCCTGGAAGGAAGCACTTGAAGACATCTTACAATTGGATGAGGTCAGAAGAGGGCTAAAAGACGGCCCTGTGGTGGAGAGCGACCGCCCAGGAAAGGAGGTCTCTTTTCCCGCCGCATGAGAGACCACCAGAATAGCTGAATTATAAACGGAATCATTGTTCCCAGCTACTTCAGTTGCCCTCCACAGAAAGCTCCTGCTTCTAGTTTGTGTACCAACCTGCAGCAATCTGATCTCTACTGAACCGTAATGGTAGGAAAGAACTGCCCTAGGAGGCCTAGGTTGATGGAAGTGCAAGTACAGTAAGTGTTTTCCAGGAATTTACAAATGTGCCGAAGCTTAAATAATTACTTGCATGCCAGGGACAACCACTTTCACGGGCTCACCACGAGAGGACTATATTCCTGACCTTGATCAGCTACAAGCTAGCTAGCTAGACTTGACAGACTTCTTTATGCTGGGAGTTCGTATGAAAGAAACCAAGGGTGAACGTAGCTCTTGGAGTTTGTGAACCAAAACAGACTATTCTTATGATTGAGTTTGGAGTCTCTCGCTAGCTTCTTTCTAGCAAAAAACTACCTAGCTTGTCTCCACACCCCACACCCTCCTAGCTAGGCATTTTTTGGATTGGCTGGGCCTCGTGGGATCTGCTGCCCTCTCTTGTTATCACACTGTTTTAATAAACGGGGTTTTTAGAGTAGGGAAATTATGAAATTATCTACGGAAGCCAGCCGGGGCCAGGCTTAAGCAAAGAACAGTCGAAATTCAGGACTAGGTTCTGTGGGATCAGGGGCAAGAAGTGAGGACCATTACGGGGGGCAAAGGGTTTGGCTGTTTTGATCACCACTTGCTATGTCGCAACCCCACGGATAGCCCCACGATAACTGGCACCAGGGGGACCTCATAGACAGCAAGTGGCAGGATGGAGAAGCACATGGAAGATCATGAGTATGATACACAAGCAGAGACCGAGGCAATGGCAAAGCAACACAGTTGGAGATGACGGGCATTCACCATGACTACAGCAACAAGGTTTCCAAGATAGATATTCTTGATAACGCCAATGGTATTTCCAAACCAAAGCTGGATGACAATGTTGTGGTAAAACCAGAAACAGTAGACTACTCTTTAGTAAAGGATTCTGACATTTTGAAGGAAGCTGGTATTCTAAAGGAGACCCTCTTAACCACCAAAGAGGCGGCACCTGCGCCAGTTGACTGTGAGGCAGCCTCGGTAGCTGCCTCCACAGTGGCAGAGCCCTTGATATTGCAGAGGGATGCAAGACAACGACAGCAGGTGACTCGTCCTGGAGCGTACCTGGGAGCACCTGGAGAAGATTTGCGACGCACGACAACTCTGAACTATGACCTGGTCCGTGCTGGTAGGGACACTTCTAGACACATGGAAATGCCTCGAATTGTGCACAGTACTGTTATTAGTGGTGCACCACTGGCACAAGCAAATCCTGTAGGAGATGATGACACTGGCAACTTGGTGCATGCCAATCCAGTCGATCTGGAAGCTGCTCAGCATCAGCAACAAGAGCGGAAGAGTCAACAGCAATTCAGATTTGCCGCACTGATTTGGCTGCTACTTGTTGCCGGCATTATTGTGGGGTTTGTGGTTGGAACCAAAAAACAAAAAGAGCTCGATGTTATCATTTCCACAGAGACACCCACTGCCTATGGTTCCATGGAACCTTCCGGAGTGCCAATGTCTGCCCCCACAGGTGTTCTTGATTGGCTTTTGGATAACCTACCTGATTACACCTTGGCCAGCATCAATGATGGCAGTGAACCCCCCCAATGGAAAGCATGGAATTGGCTTGCTGCCAATCATCAGAATGTAACATTTCTTCCAGATTGGAGGAAAACGCAACTGTTTGCTCTTTCTACGTTCTTTTATGCTTTTGAGGGAGAAAATTGGAACCCTCGCATAAAGGAGCGATGGATGGATGAAACAACAGGGAGTGTGAGTGGTTCTCCGGCGGATATGGGTTTTTTGTCGCGGGATTCTACATTCAAATGCCAGACTCCTCAAGAGTGGATTCATATGACGGCCATGGGCAATTCACCTCTCTTTGGCTATCCGGTCTCGAACTTTCACCCGGTTTAACGCCTGTAGTTCCACCCGAGATTGAACTCTTGACTTCCCTGTCCCGCTTTGCTTTGGAAAATGTTGATGCTGCAATGACATTGTCTGATATGCTACCAACTAAATTCTACGAAATGTCTTCCTTAACTTCTTTGACATTTTCCAGTGGTCAGCTGCAAGGCAACATTCCTACAGCATTCTACAAAATGACTTCCTTAATGGAATGGAGCTTGAGTCGAATCAGCTGACTGGCACAATTGTGACAGAGCTTGCTATGCTGGATGCTTTGGTTGGGCTTCAATGAACTTCCAATCATTTCACTGGCCAGATCCCAACAGAACTCGGCAAATGACTGCTTTGGACCATTGCTTTTCGGGCAAAACGAATTGATAGGTCAGATTCCTACCACGCTGGGATTACTGTCAGCTTTGACAAGATTGTCTCTTCATTACAATCTGCTTTCCGGCCAACTCCCAACAGAAATTTTGCTGATGCCCTCTTTAGATTTTCTTTCATTGGATGGTAATGGCTTGACAGGCCAAATTGCCACAGAGTTCAGTCGGCTGAGCTTTCTGAAATCGCTTGGGCTAAGCCAGAATCTGTTCAAAGGGAAGATCCCATCAGAGCTTGGATTGTTATCATCTATGAGAGAGTTTGCTAGTGGTAAAGGCGGTCTCTGAGTAGGGCAAAATCAGCTCACAGGACAGCTGTGCACTACGCTAAAAGCTAGTGTAAAGATCTTTCGAGTGTTTTGTGTTTGAGAGAATGAAAGTTATGAGAGAGATTAGAAAGCTATGAAAACTAATCAACGAGAGAGATCACCATCAAAGGATCGTAGATCTGGTCTCCCACGGGAGACTATAAAGTGTGATAGAGTAGGTTGCGGTAGTAATCCTACGTATCTCCACGATCCTAAAACGGAACGCGTGGAAGATTCGTCTAGCATGGATCTAGTAGCGTGGAAGTACTCCACGCTGGCTAAATATCTAGAGCGATGTTTCATCATCAACCTAGTATGACTAGAGCGGTCATTGAGAACCCTGTCTCAAATGACTATTCACGAGAGACTCAGTCATGAGTCGAACTCAAACCCTATCTAGGATCGAGTCGCGAATAAGGCTAAGAGCCGTGTATTGCATTCGCCCCCTGACAAGGGTCACAGAAGGCGCGACAGCAGTCGGACAAGGAGAACATATGACTTAAAGTGCGGGGCACTCTCATGAGATTGGATGTAGATATGTGCGTCGCACGATGGCAATCCTACAAGGGGATCAGGCCTTGTATGGGTGTATACCTTATGTTCCAAGTCTGGTAGACTGTGCCGCCATTGGCGGTAGCATGTCGGAGCCGTACAGTGCCATTGTCATTGACTCGGTCTATAGTGTAAGGACCTTTGTACTTTGGCTGACCGTACTTGCGGTGCTGATACTGTTGAATCATCACGGTATCGTTGACATTGTATTGATGAGGGACACGTGTCGCGTTTTCCCTATTGTTGTTCTGTTGGATTAGTCGTTGGCGACGTTCCTTGATGTACTTCCAGTTGGCTTCGAACCGGACGTTGTGAATCGCGTCACGATTGAACACGAGCTGCGCAGGCGTTGCACGCAAGGTGGTATGAATCGTGGCATTCATTGCAAAGCGAACCGCCGTGAGGACTCCATCCCAGGATCCATTCACGAGGTCGTCTTGGCACTTGATGTTTTGAACAGCGATCAAGTTGCGTATGGTCTGATGAGCACGCTCGACCATAGAGTTGGCTTGAGGGTTACGCGTAGTGATGAACTTGCGACGAAGTCCATATTCATCCCGGAGAGTCTTTTCGACCTCTGCGCGGAACTCACATCCTCTATCCATGATAACCTCAGCAGGCCATGGATACCGAGTAAGCCACGTTTGTTCTAGGACAATGGCTACTTCGTCTGCTGCCTTGGAGCAGATCTCTGCAATCTCGAACCATCCGGTTACGGGATCAATCATTGTCAAGCAATGAAGTGTGCAGGAATTCTTTTTCTTAGGATCCCCGACGTTGTAGGGACCTATCAGGTCAATACATAGTCTTTCCCAAGGGATCTCCTCGCAAGTCTTTGGAGGCATCAATCCCAGCTTACGCGTCTTGGGTTTGTTCATCTGGCAGCTCTGGCAACGCTGACATACGGCCTGCACAGTCTTGCGCAGTCCTTTCCAGGTGTAGTGTTGGCTGATGGTCAGTTCTGTGCGAGTCTCGCCAGGATGCATCAGTACACCATGGTACCATTCGACTAGCTTCTTCTGCATAGTCTTAGGTACGACGATCTTGTCGTCCTTGACTACTAAGTCGTAAGACTTATCCCCTCTGGGGAAAGATTGCTTCTTGTAGTCGTTTGGCTTGTCCCTGAGGAGTTTCTTGATATCGTTGTCGTCCTTCTGACGATGTTCGATCTCGGGGAATTGTTCCCAGAAGGGAAAACCTATCGCGTTCTACAGCAGGAAGCTCAACCCTGCTCAAACACGCTACACCGTTACGAAAGGAACTTCTCAGTAACGTAAAACTCTAAAGAGTTCCGTAACATTCTTCTAGGACAGAAGAATGTTGTACATACGGACCACAAGAATCTTACATGTAAGAACTTCATACCGATCGCGTAATGCGATGGGCCTTATTCTTGAAGAATACGGCCCTGAACTACGGTACATCAAGGCGAACACAACATCGTCGCTGATGCGTTGTCGAGACTTAACATCTCCAACATGATGGTTCTTCAGAACAGATGGAAACCAGCCGAGACGCTGAGCTCATGGCTGCAGACGAAGAGGACATCCCTAGCGAGTTCTCTTCTCCTTCGTTCCCCGA